CACTCATCGAAAATCAGGAATATTTCGTAAATATACAAACACTAGAATCAAAGAATTTATAGATTAGTGGAATCCAGCTGGCATGGCTAAATAGATTTAAATCATGAAGCATCTAAAAATTATCTAAATTACAATGTGTGTGGCCTATTGCACGAGCTTTCTTCAAACACTTGTACAAAAGAAAGCTTTTTTGTTATTTACATTGTTAATCAAATCCTGTAGCCCGTGTACTTCTTAACTTTCACAGTTAAGAATTAACGCCTGATGAAACATACAAGGGAAACAAAAATTAACTAAATTAATTAAATAATTAAAAGTAAGCAACTTGGAAGAACATTCCATCGGGTTAACAATTCCACCAGTTTTGACGCTTCTTCCTTTCACTTAAGCAGAATCGTAAATTCGCAACATACAAAAAAATCCGGGGGTGGGGGAGCTTTATGCGTATATACATTGTTTTATTACCAATCAGTTTCATTACAATTTAAACTTTCAACTCATCCCTGGGTATCATTCTGGTTAACTCTAACGTGCAACCAAATATTTACGAGCGATATTAAAAACGAAGGAAAATTGACGAATTTTAACAAATCAAATAGGCAAATTCAACGTTTCATTTTTTTATATATACTTTTCAATGTTATTAATGTAATAACTATAAAATTTGAATGGCTGCAAAATAAAACAAAATTATTTTTATTCACTTGATAGATCTCAAACGAATTTGTCAACCCAGGATTGATAACAGAATAATGGTCTCCTCATTTTCATGCTTAACCAATAATGAAAGCCAGCGTGGGTGGTCGATGGCTGATGTTGTCTCAATATCATTCTCCCAATGGAATAATTATTTTAACCTTTGGTGTTTGGAAAGTATGAAAATTCATTTTCATGCTGTCTAAACATTATAGAAAACTACTTGTTTTTTCGTACCATATTGTAAATTTGAATCAATAGCAAATTTGAATCAATAGCAAGTTCCACTTCAATCAATTTACAAATTTGGGGTTGATTTTTCCAAAACAAAAAAAAAAACAAAAACATTTCAGATATTTTCTCTTCGAAAGGTTTCCTTTCATCAAGTTTATTTACCTTTATTACGACATTTCAGCCGATGTGTGTTCTGTTTTGATTTTTTTTTTACTAGTGTCTATAATTGGTGACCATCAAGATTACGACATTCAAAATATTATTCTTTTCACTCTGATATATATTTCAGTATCTTTACAATGATTTGACTTCTGAGTTGTTCCAGCGATAACCAAAGAGAAAGCATTTGATAACGAAGAAGGATTACTAAATTTGACTTAGGCATGTGGAAAGCTGAAGAACACATCAGCTGAAATGTTGTTATCGAAAAAAGAAAAAGAAGAAAAGCAACGATTGTGCGGATATTATCCGAATAATTAATGAAATAATATCAGAATTTTTGACAACCCCAGAGCAACAAATCTTCTTGTATTGAAAGAGCTACGTTTTTATTGGGGTACCGCTTTGTTACGGCTTCTTCGTCGCTGTAAAAAAATAATGGTACTCTGAACAAAAAAATTATATTTATTCAGAACCTCTAAATATTTATTGTGTTAAATTTATATCAACGCCTTCTTCATGGAACACTTCATGAAGAACGAACTCTGCGCCAACAGTCTGCGGACAGTGAAAGACTACTCTGATATAAACAAACTGTTTCAAGATGTGGGGTGCCTTGCTTCATACTAGTAGAGCGATGTTGATCTCTTTACTTATTGCCTCATGCTCTTGCCTCTGACTAGGGTGAGATTAATAAATGACATTTCTTTGTCGTATTTGAAAGGACTTTCTTCCTTGTAAGACTCATTTTAAACGTGTAGTAGGCTAATATGGCTAAAATGTAGGCGTTATCATCTTGGGGAATGGTATTGGCGTGTCGAGTTCAATTCTCAACCGAGACCGTTGCATTCGTTTTCGCACAAAGGTGTGACTCAATCTCTTCCTTTTCTTTGCTAAAAATTAATAGCAAGGGAGTTCCCTAGATTTGATTAGCAACCAGTTTAGGAAAAAAAAACAATTCGAATTCGCTTGAGTATGGGACTGCATCTCCACCCCGTAAAATCCCTGTAGCAGCAAGAAAAACTTCCACCTGAGGATTGCTTGCTAGACATGCTCTTCACAATCATACCATGTAATTATTGCTGTAATTCATACTTGATATCCAAACGATAATTGTCATTACTTGGGCCAGGTTAAGGTGAGGCAGACTGCTTGCAGTTCTACCACGCACGTTGAATATTGTTAGAACGTAAAGTTAATCTCACTTTTTTCTACTTAAGTCAATGTCTAAATAAAAAATACGCGTAAAAAAGAATCACCTGACTATAAACATAAGCATCTTATCTTTCATTTCTTCTTGTAAAAGTTATTGTTGTTGTTATTATTAAGGTCTTTTTCATGATCACGTCTTTGAGTTTCACTTATGTAAGCCAAATCATATCAGTGATTTTTTCCAGAGATTTCTGTACAA